TGTGGTATTGCCTGTTGTGGATATCAATCATTTATTATGGACATTAAGCCAAATAAAAGTGCAAGTAAAGATAATAATGATTTTTGAACAAATATTAAGCACGCAGTTTCTGATTTTGGACTGACATATTACAAAAGCAGGGCTCAAACACCCCAGAGCTAATAAAGACATATCAGGCTTTCATTAGAACAGATATTAGAATGAAAACACAGCTTCAGCACATTTTTTACACAGTGAAATAGAGAGTGAGCAGAGCTTTCATCAGGGCTGGGGAAATCAAAATTTAAAACCAATGTCTACTTAGAAGTTTTCCTACTGATCATCAATTCAGCATTCGTTTGCAGTATTAATAACTCTGCTAGACCTGGCAGGAGCCTTTTCTCTGCTGAGTTAATAAATTTTTCTGTGAGCCTTCGTTTGATTGATTACATCATGGTAAGTGTGACCACATAAGAAGTTGCCCTGGAAATACGCTTCTCCGAAGCAACAGTGAAGGAACAAGGAATTGCTGAGGGAGAACACGTTCTAGTTCGGAATTGTTTATGATAGTTCTCAGAAAAATGAAATCAAAATAGGGATAGGAGAAGGGGGATTATTGGCAAGGGGTAACAAAAAATTAAAGGTTTTTTTGTGCATATTACATAGGCATTTGGGGGGAAATATTTTGACCTTAAAAATTCTGGTAGAATATTCTCATCTAGCAGGGAAAATAATTATACTAAATAAATATAAGTAGCAAAGTCAAAGGTAAGGTAGATCAACTTTTTTGTTCCCCATTCCAACCTCTGGGTTTAGGAGCCAGATGCTGAAGATGACTCCTGGGTTCAGGCTCACAAATGCAGGAGGGAGCGAGGTGGGGCTCAGCTGCAGATGTCCCCTGGATGCTGTATTTGTTCTTAGGATGCTGGTGAAGGCAGCAGACTCTTGGAATGTCCTTGTTGGGATGAACCTTAGCCTTACCCCGCTCCTCATTTCCTTATTATACTATTAACAATTAGCTCCGTAATTTACAAGGCCTCCAAAATAAAAATGCAGATCGGGCCCCTTATTCAAAACTTACTAAGAATTTCAAGAAGGCAACATTCAGCATGAAACCAAGTGCGAGGGCCTTCTGAGCATGGGGCCCTGTGTGGCTGCACAGGTCACATGCATACGAAGCCAGCCCTGACTATAAATGGGGGAGCAGGGTCCACAGTGGCTGAAAGTTGTCCTCCAATAGACCTCTTTACTCTTCTTACTGGTTACTGGCAGCTCTTGGGCTCCGTAAAGTTTGGGCAGAGGAGGAAGGAAGGGAAAGCACACGGAGAAATCACATTGTGCGCTGCTTTGGTAGGAGGGTCAGTCACATCCTTCCTTCTTGGTTTCCCTTCATCAGCGACACCTGCAGGTGTCTCCTGTGACCCCAGAATCCTTTATCTATTCATGTCATCTCGACCGTTGAAGTCTACAGGGCCAGGCACTGTGCCAGGGACTGAAGACACAGAGATGAACCAGACAAGGTATTCGTCCTTGAGAAGCCCCATCTGGTGATGAGAGAATTTGACTTTTATCTGAGAAATTGCAGAGTCGCATTTCATGCAAAGAGGTAGAAAATGTGAGTTGTCATTTTCAGATAGAGAGAATAAAATATCAGCTCAGTTGGCATCAGTTTATCATTTTTCAGGGAGGAGAATGACATGGAAAGGCACAAATCCTTTAGTAAATGAGCTGTCTTTATTTATCAGTGGTTTTGCGTGGAAAGGGAAAGGTGAATTGATCTTTATGGGTCAAGACTATAGGACCTGCAGAAGGAGGTAGAATCTGCTGAGGAATGGGCTCAGAAACCTCCAGAACTTACTGGGGTCAATACCTTGACTCCCAGCAGTTGTGCAGGATGCCACTTGTGATTCAGAACAAAGTGGCCTCCTTGGTGCGGTCTGCACTTTGGGGCAGTTGTCCTGGCAAAGTGGGTAGGAGGGTGAGGAGATTCATGCACACAGGCCTGCATGGAGAAACAGCCCAGTAAACTTGATTTAATCACAATCTGTGTCTTATCAGACAAGTCACAGAAGGGAAAATGAGTCTGTTTAATACCTTTGATCACGGCCTCAGTTTCTTTTACCTCAAGAAAGCCTTCTTAAGGAGGGGGTGTTCTCCAAGTCCATGAGGAATGAACCTCATGGTTGCTGGCTTCAGAACAGAGTGTCTTTTTGGTTTGTATTTAATTGTGACAGACTTTTTCTTTCCCCTTCTGTGAATCTTAACTACAACACAACAGATTTCTTTTGGGTATGGTTGAAAACATTCTGATTTTCATCTTTTCTGTAAATATTTTGAAGATGGATAAAGACAATCTTTAAAGGCTGCTCTTGGAAATATTTTTTTCTCAAACTGTGTTTACAACATATTAAACTAGATACACATTCTAAAGACAAAGATGTTGGTTTTTCTGTCTGAATGATGTCAAATAAACAGTCAAGTTGTAGGTTGGGATGTGATGTACGTGGTTGGTTTGCTGCCTGACCTGGACTCACAGGGTTCTAGCAGGAAACATCCCTCCGTCCACAGCACATTTCATTGTGACATACAGATTGGTTCTTCTCTCGTCTTAGATGGAATTTAGGATAAATTCATAACTTTTTTTTTTTTTGTAAAGATTTTATTATTTCCTTTTTCTCCCCAAAGCCCCCCGGTACATAGTTGTATATTCTTCGTTGTGGGTTCTTCTAGTTGCGGCATGTGGGACGCTGCCTCAGCGTGGTCTGATGAGCAGTGCCATGTCTGCGCCCAGGATTCGAACCAACGAAACACTGGGCCGCCTGCAGTGGAGCGCGCGAACTTAACCACTCGGCCACGGGGCCAGCCCCAATTCATAACTTTTTAAGGTGACTTTCAGGGGACAAAAATATCTTCTGACAAGCTCCAGTCTCAAGAAAGATCTCAATTCAATAGTTAAAATGTCCCGTCCAGGTCCATGTCACATAACTCCACACCCTTAACAAGTCTAAAGCGTCTCCCCTCTGTGAGCCTGCCAGGCTGCTTTGGGCTGGGAAGCCTGGAATGGGGTTGGGATGTCAACCGCTTTTTCTCTCTTTGAATTATCGGTTAGTGATTCTCATTATTTGGATTGGTTATTGATCACAATTCTTTACTCCCTCCCTCTGCCATGTGCTCTTTCAGTGCACTAGAAAGGGCAGTGTCCCTTGCCACCCCATTGATTTTGGACTTGGCCAACAGAAGGATAGTAGTTATGAAAGAAGCAGAGCTTGGTAAGCGCCCGGGTGGTTTGGCCTGGTCTCTTGGTCTCCTGTGATGGGAGGGAGGGGTATGCCTCAGCTAGCCACTCTTCCTTCAGTCAGAATGCCGGCAGACCCGTTTAAGACAGCTTAGCACGCCCTACGACAGCACTGGATACCATCCTTTGCAATGTAAGGATAACTGGCATTAAATGTTTTTCTTTTTCGCCTTTGGGAACTCAGGAGGAATTGAGTTAAAAATTGTTCCATTTATCACATCCTGATACATAGGAGATATTTTCTACTGTGAAGCTGAGAAAAAGCATAGAGCCACACTGCGCTACAATGTATAGGAAGCACCCTGCACAGTGCCTGGCACATGGTCAACACTCTATAAATAGAAACTTATTGTAGTTATTAGTATTATTAATTGACGTTTTTTCTGCAGCAATTGAAGTACTCAAGGACTGCAAAATTACTGTTTGTGAGTAAAGAGGACGCCTAGGAGTTTGCTAGCTTCGGAAGCTATTCTGGGCAGTTCAAATGCTGCTGATTCCATTTCTCACTGGATATTGATCCAGGGTTAGGACTGGAGAGACAGAAGGTATATAGGCTATTTGTGGTCAATGCTACGACTGTAAGAGTTTATGTGTTTTATTTGTAGGATCTTCATTTATTCGCAGGACATCCCTTAAGAGCCTGAGCTGGATATCTTCCATTTGCCCCTTCAGATTCACTCTCCACATTTTTCAACCTTACTCTGTGCCCAGGGAGGTTGACCTGGATGGGCTACTTCAACTGGGCTCTCTTCTTATTTCGCTGTCAATTGGGCTCAGCCACTGGGGATTACCAGAGGGGGATCAAAGGGAGGAGGAGAGAGGGATCAGGGTGTTTGTTTCTGTGGCTTCCACCCTACCAAACTGGAGTTTACTTCATTCCTCTGCTAAAGGCCTCAGCTCCCGCCAGGAAATGCTCTTCCTGGAGCTGTTCTCCCCGTGTTCCCATAGTCCCCCTGCTGTTACTGCACTGTCTCTTATGATTTCTCTGAATCGGTGCTTCTCAATCTGGGTTGCACATTAGAACCATCTGAGGAGGTTTTAAAACATTCTAATTTGATGCCCAGGCTGTGCTCTGGACCAGTGCTGTCCCTCAGAAATATAATTTGAGCCACATATGTAATCCTAAATTTTCCAGTAGCCACATTATTAAAAGTGGAAAGAAACAGATGAAATTAACTTCTATAATACATTTTATCTAACCCAGTATGGCCAAAATATTACCATTTCAAGAAGAAATCATTCTAAAAAATTCTTAATGAGATATTTTGCATTCCTTTTTTTTTTTTTTTACTAAGATTTAAAAATCTGGTGCATATCTTACACTTAAAACACTTCTCAATTTGGACCTGCCACATTGCAAATGCTCAGTAGGTACATGTAGCTATGGGACAGTGTGGCTCTTGACAAAATGGATCAGATTCTGTGGGGGTGAAACTCAGGCAGCAGTAATTTTTAAGATTCTCCAGGACATTTAACGTGTAGCAAGGTTGACAGCCACTGTCCTAAACCCTGCCCATGTCTTTCTAAATAGAACTTTGTTAAACTCTCTTTAAATCACCTGATTTGAGAATGTCGTCTATTTGGTGCTTGTGCGCAGCCTTGCCTGGGAATATGGAGATGATTCAGGCAGAATGCCTGCCCTCTGGGAGCTTCCACTATTGAGCAGAAGACAGCCGGGTCAGCAGGCCATTACGGTGTGAGGAGCAGGGCTGGAGGACCCTGGAGGCAGACCAAACGCACCTTTAGAACACCAGCCAATGGAGCCACCAACAAAGTGAGAAAGGCGAATTTTATTAGAATTCCTTACACTTTATTCATTTGAATGATATATTGTACAGTATTTCTCTCTCCTAGTTTAAAAGAGACACCCTGGGCCAAGGAAGCTCCAGAGAATGTTCTTAGCCCTGGCTGCACATTTGCATCACCTGGAAACTTTGTTAAACAAATTCTCAAAACTAGTGGGTGAAAGTTTGATAAGAAACAGGATATTAACATAATCTTTAGGTATCTCTCTGCAAGATACTTAGGGTTATAAAGAGAAAAATAGAAACATTACAGTGGAGAAGGCTGACAGACACCACCTTAACCAGGTGGTCAAAGTTAACATATTGGAATGGGACAAACTGGCATTGTGGGCCTGCTGATATGACACACCATCACTTCTGTGGTATTTCTGCCCCAAGTGTGTAACTTGGATCTAATAAAGAAGAACATCAGACAAACCTCAATTTGAGGGACATTCTGCAAAATAACTGGCCTGTGATCCTCAAAAATGTCACTGCCATGTCAGACAAAAACAAGAAAAATTGAGGATTAAAGCATTTCTGGCTTCATCTACACAAGAAGGAGGTGAAATCGGATGATTAATCTGTAGTCTCCTTGGAAGGGCCAGGAGGGTATCTCCAAGTGTATGGGAGCAAAGAGCCAATGAGACCATGCTGCTCCTGCCTCAGGACCTTTGCACTGGCTATTCCCTCTGTTGGAATGCTCTTCTCTAGGCATCTGCATACCATGCCCAGCCCCATGTTCAACGTACACTTCTCAGTGAAGTCTTCTCTGGCCACCACATCTAGAATTGAGCCCCACTCCTACATCACCCATTCTCCTTCTCAGCTATATTTTTCCCTGTAACACTTACCATCATCGAACCTGCTACAGCTCTTATTTCCCATATTTATTGTCAGTCTATCCTCATTAGAATAGAGAATATCACATTATCCTCCTGCAGTGATTGGCTTAGGGATGGTCATGTGACCCAGTCAGAATCAAGAAGAAACAAGATTGTGCTGGAACCTTGAGAGACCAGCACATTCTCTTGTTCAGTTGATCTTGAGCCTGTGAGGATGTGAGCCTAGCTTTGCTGAGTACCTAATGAATGAAGCTTGTATAGCAGAAGGCAGAGCCAAATGGGGGAGCAGACCAAGGCTGAAGGCATTATTTGAGGTCCTGTATCAAGATGTAATGTGTGAGCCAATATTTTCTCTCTTTGCTTCAGTCAGTTTGAGTTGGTTTTTCTATTGGTAGTAACTGGAAAAATCCTACCTGATAAATAGAGCAACCTTCTTGTTCTGATCTGTCTTCCATATCTCTGCTTATAGGAAAGGGATGCTGACCCAAATGTCTGGGCACCTGGTTAGGTGTTCTATGTAAATGAATCGATTGGCTTTTGGTTGGTAAGAACTGAGGCTTTTGTGAGTTGATTGGGACCAGCCAGGCCCAGGGTTACCTTTGTGCTGCTGAGGAGACCGAGGTTCTGGTCCCAGTAACAAGGCACAGGCTCTGGGATGTGAGAATTGATTAAGGCCCGGGGATGAATGACACAAAGGGAGGCCTTGAGTGGCCTTCACTGTAGGCATCTTAAGAGGACGCTGTTTATCCCTGGAATTCACAGATGGTCTGTACATCGATGCCAGGCTGCCTACATAGCTCTCTAGGGGAGATTCATGGCAGATTGATTATAAAAATGCTCCTAATTTTCATCTTTCCCAAAACCCATGCTTCTTGTAGTGGGACTTTGCAGGTCCTCCCATGAAGAGGCCGAGTCTATTCCTTTTCACCTTGAATCTGGACAGGCCTGATGACTTGCTTTGGCCAATAGAATGAGGTGGAAGTGACAGTGTGCCTATTTCAAGCCTAGGCCTTAAGAGGTCTTGCGTGCTTTAGCTTCTTCTCAGATGCCCTGTGAGTACGCCCAAGCTAGCCTGCTGGGAGAGGAGAGACTGTGTGGATGGAGCCCAGAGTCCCGGCCAAGCTCGTTGTAGCCCAGCCTTCAGCAAGCCAATTCCATCAAAAGTGAGAGAGACCAGCCGAGGTCTGTAGAACAGCCTGCCCCAACTACAGATGACCACAGATGCGTGAATGAGCCCAGCTAAGACCAGGAGAGCTGTTCAGCTCACCTGTAGATTCATGAGAAGTAATAAATACTTACTGCTTTAAGCCACTGGGTTTTGGGGTAGTTTGTTATGTAGTAATAGCTAACTAATATTACCTGTTAAAAACTCTCATTCCCAGGCTCTATCACCTGAGATTCTAATTCCATTAGCCGGGGGTGGAACTTTAGAATCTATATTTTAAAAAAGTTTCCATGTTTCCCACCCAGGCTCTGAAAGCAATTATTAACATACCTCCCACCCGGAAGTTCTGCAGGTGTGTTATATACACAGGCCCCCAACACTTTCAGCCAGCCCTTCAGCAGCTCCTCGTGGGCACTGTTTTAAAACAATTGGTAAGCTCCAGTAGCGGCAGAGTTCTCAGGTGAGGAGGTCCCGAGACGTGGGCGGGAAGGGAGCCCAGGGAATTCCTGCAGCTGCCGCAGAAGACGTCGAGGAAGTGAAAAAGCATCAAGGTTTCTGGACACTCAATTTGAACTCTATTAAATGAAACACAGGCCCTTTGAGAGAGGTGTTTGTTCTGGATTCAGCTGCGCTCTGCTCAGACAATGGCCCGTGGGGACAGATCTGTCACAGGCGCGCAGGTGTCTGGTTTGAGATGGAGGACTCCCTCCAGCCTGTTTGTGAGCCAGCCGATTCTGTAATTGAAGGGGAGCCTGACCTGAGCACTCCTGGGCTCTGTGCAGAAGGCCACTCAGCCTGGCCTTTGGGTGAGCTCATCGCCCCCGCGTGCCTACCTTCCTGCGTTCAGGAAGTGCTTGTCTCATCGTGGCCCCTTCCATGTGTCTCCTGGGGGGCCATGGGATGATGTCAGGGTCCCCCACATCTGTGCAGTGACAAATAAGCAACAGACTAAAGCACTAGTTCCCAGAGCTGGCGGCCTATCTCTCCAAGCGGCCTGTTTCAACCTGAGACAGTTGTGACCACGCAAAAGTCCTTTATACATTTAACGGTGGAACACTGTAGAAGGCAATCCATGAAATGGGCAAGAAAAAAAGATCGTCCCTGTTATTTTAGCATTGATCTAGAAGCAACAGCCAACGCAATTACAAGAAAAAAGAAATAAGTATCAATATTAGAAAGGAGAAAACAAAATTACCATTATTTGCAGTTGATACTATCATACAGAAACCAAGAGAATTGACAGAAAAATTATTAGAAACAATAAAAGAATGATAAGGTGGCTAGTTAAAAAGTCGATATATAAAAATCAATAGTCTTTTTACATTTAACTTTTTATTGTGAAATGTATCATATATATAAAAGTAGATGTGTGTGTATATATATAATTAAAAAATACATATATAATTTAAAATTAAGAGAGTAATGAGCATTCTCTGATCACATCCCCTTTGTCCCTCCAGAAATATCCATTGTTAATCGTTGCTTTTCTTTATTAATTTACAGTGTTGCAACAATTGCCCATATGCCTAATAAATATATTGTTAGTTTTGCTATTTTTTTTCCTGCTTTTTCTCCCTAAATCCCCCTGGTACATAGTTGTATCTATTTTTAGTTGTGGGTCCTTCTAGTTGTCACATGTGGGACGCCGCCTCTGCGTGGCCTGATGAGCAGTGCCATGTCTGTGCCCAGGATCCGAACCAGCAAAACCCTGGGCCACCGAAGCAGAGCGTGTGAACTTAACCACTCGGCCACGGGGCCAGCCCTAAGTTTTGCTATTTTTTAAATTGAGATATAATTGACATACAACATGATATTGGTTTCAGATGTCCAACATAATATTTCAATATTTTGTGTATACTGTATATATTGCGTAATAGTTTTGCTATTTTTGACTTGCTTCTTTTACTCATCAGTATATTTCGGAGCCATCCATGTTGACGGTGTAGCCATGGTTTAGTCATTTTCTTTGCTCTATAGTATGTCATCATGTGATGATATTTGTAGTACTTACTGATCCAGTTTAATGTGAAAATTTATGTTTTTACTTCAGAAAATGTTGTGTTTGAATTTGGGGTGTTGCACCATATATATGTATATGTATTTATATGTATATATACACACTCATTCTATTGTCTTTCCAAAATTAAAGAAAACTTTACCACAAGTGTTTTGGATAAAAGATTATTGACCTGTACTGTAATTTATTCACGCATTCCTGTTTTGGTGGACATTTGAGTTGTATACCAGCCACTGTGAGTGTTCTTGTATGTGTCTTTTGGTGCATATGTGCAAGAGATTCTCTAGGGTGTAGACTAGGAGTGGAAATGGTGGGCCACGAGACATGCATGTGTTCAGCTTTGAAAACCCAGTTGTCAAAAATGGTTAAACAAATTTTTACATCTACTGACAGTGTATAAGAGTTCTCTTTGCCCCACATCCTCACTAGCATTTAGTGCTATTAGACTTTAAAATTTCTTCAGTCTGTTGAATGGATATTTATATATCCTTGTGGATTAAAGTTTTGTTTCTCTAGTTGTTAATGAGGTTGGGCATCTTTCTACGTGATCATTGGCCATTGAATTTCATCCTCTGTGAAGTGACTGTACATCTGTTGCTTATTTTTCCACTGAGTTTTTGCCTTTTTCTTATTTATTTGTAAGACTACTTTATATATTGAACATACAAATCCGTTATTTGTTACATATATTGCAAATATCTTCTTCCATTTGTGTCTTATCTTTTTCTCTTTCTCAATGCTATCTTTTGATTAACAGAATTTGTTTATTTTAATTTAGTTGAATTTATTTAACTTTGAGTTTTGTTTTCTTTTGGTGTCTTAATAAATTCATTCCTACTCTGAGGTCATAAACACATTTTTCTACTAAAGTTTTATAGTGTTAACTTTTATAGTTGAGATTTTAATTTACTTGAAAATAAGTTTTGTATGTGGTGTGAACTAGGTGTTAAATTCCTTTCCCTTTTCTATAAAGATAATGCATTGATCTAGCTTTATTTATTGAAAACTCTGTCCTTTCCCCATTGATTTACAGCATCACCTCTGTCATAAAGAAAGTATACATATATGAAAGGGTCTATTTTTGGGTTTCAGTACTGTTTCATCAGTCTATTTGTCTCTCTCTGCATCAAAACCATATTGTTATAATTATCATAATTTCACAAAAATCTTGATATTTGATTCTTCCTTAAGTGTATCTTAGATATTCTAGGTTATTTGTACTTTTGTATAAATTTTAGAGTTATTTGTCAATTTGCACATACACACAGACACACACACACAAACGCAAACATAATGAAGAAAACTGACATCTCTATAATACTGAGTCTTCTAAACTGTGAGCAAAGGATCTCTCTTCACTTGTTTAAATCTTATTTACTGTCTTTCAGTAAAGTTTTGTAATTTTCAACACAGAAGTCTTAACACATTGTGTTAGGTACCTGATTTTTGTGCCATTGTAAGTGGTTGGTATCACTCAAAAATTTCAGTTTCTAACTGTTTATTGTTGGTGCACAGAAATGCAATTGATTTTGTAAATTGTTTTTTAAGCAACACAATTAACAGGCTTGATTTAATATTGATGTATTTAGAAGTCTTTAGCAATTAATTGTAGAATGCATATTTTTCTCAAGCACACATGGAGCATTTACAAATATTGACCATGTTCTAGGTTGCAGAACAACTCTGAAATACCAAAGAATCTGTATCATACACACCACATTATGTGTCCACAGTTTAAGGACAATTATGAAAAAAACGAGATAAAAACTCATGTCTTTGGAAAACTTAAGGCATTTCTAAACTGATCAGGGGAAATATCATAAGGAGAAACAATAACAGTATTCAGAATTAAATAGTAATGAAAACACCACGTATCAAAACTTGTGAGATAGTGCAGCAGTGCTTAAAGAGAACTTATACAAGTATTCTTAAAAACTTAAACTAGAAGAATGGTTGAAATTTAATGATCTAAGCATCAAAGTTATACCAAATTAAGAACTTAGAAAAAGAACAACAGAATAAATACAAAATAAAAATAGAAGTAATGAGATAATAAAAACCAGAGCAGAAAGTAAAGAAGCAGAAAACAAATATACAATAAAGAAGACTAACATAGCCAAAAGTTGGTTCTTTGAAATGGGTCCAGAAAATGATAAAACACACACACACACAAAACAAATTTAGGATTGAATAGGGGGACAATTTAAAGATACAGCATACATATAAAAAAATAGTAAGAGAATAACATGGGTGGCTTATACCTATAATATTAAAAACTTTCTTAAAACATCTAGAAAATATAATTAAACAAAACTGGATCAATGAAAACAGAAAATAATCTTTCCACAAAAGCAGACCCAGGCAGTTTATAGTTGAACTTTTATAAACTTTAAAGTAACAGATAAGATTAATCTTATACAAAATCTTCCGGATAATTGAAAACAATGGAACACCCTCCAATTTATAAAACTAAAATAACCAGGATTCCAAAATTAAACTGAGACAGTAAAAGAACAGTAAATTACAGATCAATTGGCTCGTGAACCTAAGTGCAAAAACCAAACCAAAACAACCCAAAAAGCCAAAATATTGGCAGATTGAATCCAGGCAATATACATAAAAATATAATAGATTACATCAAAAGTTATATTCCAGGCATTCAAGGTTGGTTTAATGTTATAGATTCTATTAATGAATTCACTACATTAATGGTTCAAGAGGGGAAACAAGATGATAGTCTCAAAAGATGCAGAAAAATCACTTATTAGAATTCAAAATCCACTTATCACAAAAACCTTAAGAGAATTAGGAAGAAGAGGGATGGTTTCCCCAGATATTGCAATATGCATCTTTAATTTACAAAAATCTAATATTAATTGGCACTTCTCCCCATCCAAAATAACGCAAAGACCTTAGCACACTTTAATTTTCATTTACCCTCTTTGACTTATATGTGTGTTTAAATTTAAAATTAAATAAAAGGACTTTAAATCTCTTGGGACTTTAGTCCCAGTTTTATACTCAACATTCATATAGATTTATCTCCATTTTTGTTGATCTTTATTCTGCCCTACATTTCTAACCTTCCACTGGAGACCATCCTTTTTCTGCCTCTAGACAACTCT